GCCTCGGATTGTTTATACAACCGACGGACCAACCTAGTAGTCGCACTTATATTTCATAGGTTGATGTTTCCATACCTTTGATAGCTCCACAAATATTTGCGCCGGTATTGTTATACGATTACCGAGGTAGTTTCACTTAGCCATGCTTACGTTGTTGCCGTGTGGGAAACTTGGGTTATTCCAAATTACATGTTTAAAAATCAAGTACGTTGTACCGAGGAGTTTGTGAAATAAAATGTGTTGTGAAAGTGGTGATGATGCGGAGTCATGCCTTTGTGGTTTGGCTACGTATTGTCGTTAAGGACCGATTCCTTTGGGAAATCCATCCAAACACATTACAGTGAGACCACATGGATATTTATGGGTTGCCTCTTGCTAAGTAAATTGTTATCACATGGGAGTTGGTATGCCAATGGTTGTGGAATGCCGAGGATGAGCAGACGAAGTTTTACACATTTTTGCCCATCATGGGTGTCTTTTTGCCTCTATTGTGGCGTGTGATATCAGTAGGAGACATCCTCGGTATTTCTTGAGTGGATGACGGCTGTCTTTGCCCGATATTCGGCTATGGATCTTAGCCCAACTAGGTGGCATGCGATTTTCATGGGTTAGCTTTGGAAAGGTCTTATCACGAACTTCCGTTACCGACGGGTAAACGGTGTAAGTTTCGTGTCGTGTGGGTAAAGCGTGCAACCTCTGCAGAGATTAATGAACTGTTCGAACAGTCGTGCCCACAGTCATGGGCAAGTGTAAGGTGTTTCTCATAGCGTAGTTTTGTTTGCAAATGTTTGTGGAAAAGTGATTGTTCAGAAGAGTAACGTTTCTAGAGTTCGCCTGTGTGGCAGACGACTAACCTTTGTGGTTAGGAACGGGTCTGTGTGACCTGGGGTGTCGTCCGACACCGATGTGTTGCTAGGACCATGATGGCGTTGTTGTGCTAAGATAACTGTGTGGACTATGTGTTGTTGTGAGAAGAAGCTAATAGAGGAGACAAATTAATTGTTGTTCGTTAATCATGACAAGCTGTTGCAAAGCAACTTGTGGAATGGGTCGAGGCGTGAGCCTCCTCCCGACAACTAAAATTTGACTCACTCACTAGGAGTTTTGTGAAATAAATCACTTTGCCAAAAAGGCAGCTTTCGCAAATAAAACACTAGCTTCCTTGTTTAAATCAACATGTCATTCTTTCCCCTGACTTGCTGAGTACGTTAAGTACTCACCCTTGCCCCTTATAATAATCTATAGAGTTTGAAGACGAAGACGTCGACCCAACCGCCGAGGAGTATCTCCAGGAGCAAGCTGAGTATGAAGACTTCTAGATGTTTCGTGCCTAGCCCCAAGCCTCGCCCGTGGAATAAGTTAGTTGCCTAGGTTCTTTGCCTAGTGCGTAGTTGCTTAGTCGCTTAGTTCTCCGCGCTGTTCGCTTCTGCGACGTCGCCTTTTATGGTTTTTCTGTAATGTTGTGTTGTTCATCTATGGGCCTGTCCATGATGGTAACTTATGTAAGGACTACTACCCAGTGATGTAATAAAATAGTTACTTTGATTACACATTTATTCTGTGTGTATCAGCTAGTGTATCCTGGGACTGGTACTATATCACATGTAATGCATAACACCCCGGTGTTAGTTAGCTGCATTTATGGCTAACAAATGTCGGGGCGTTACAGAGTTCAGCCGTAACCAACATCTCCGGGACACTGATTACGGGCGCTCTTCTCCGATCCAACATATACAACATATTAGAGTTAGAACGAATCACAGCCAGTCGCCACCAACAGCCGCTCCCTCTCACTATGCTATATCGCTATGCGGTTATAACAGGCACACCCCTCTATTTAAGAGAGATCCTAGGATAGAGTCTGACTCATACTCTAGTCCTAATACCTATTACAACTCCAAGTCCTAATACCTATTACACCGCCGGAGCTCGACACTAGCAAATCACCTCTGCCCAAATCGTAAAAACTCTCCGTTCCCCTTCCGTGTACGAGTAGATCACCGGCTTGGCTTGTGTAGGATCGTAAATGGCCTTTCCCACCCTAAAAGATAGCCATTGAGGTGAGTGGCTCCCCCACTTATATGTTAGGTCTCTTGCCCTTCCACAACTAATATGGGACTATTCAACAATCTCCCCCTTCACATATTGGTGTCCCTCAATCCTTCACCGCCCCTTCACCGTTTCCCCACACGGTCCCTCAGGTAAACGTGCCCCGTAAGCACCTACGGTCCATCAGGCCTTCACACACTATGTTCCTCGGGTCAGAGATATTGAACTAGTTAGGCTCTGGTACCAATTGTAGAATCATAAAGGGTTTTTCCCACCCCAAAAGCTAGCCATTGAGGTGAGGGGCTCTCCCACTTATATGTTAGGTCTCTTACTCTTTCATAACCAATGTGGGACTATTCAACAGCTTCTTCCATGCGTAGCCAAGTAGGATTCGTGATCCGAGTCTATCCGCTGGCCCGAGTCGATCTGCTGCGTAACTCCAGCCCAAAACAGAGTCATTTGTGGTCTTTAGCTTCGACACGCAAACGTGCACACAGCCACCTATCGTGACCTCCTCAGCCTCCACGCATCCGTACGTCCTCTAGTGCAGCCACTAAACTGTAAGTCCAAGTTCTAAATTGTAACCGACTTTGTACATATATTCGATACAAACTCTAACAATATCTTCACTAACCCTATCTTAGCCGAATAACAACTAAAATTTTTTCTATTCAAACATAGCTAAACCATGGTTAACAAATACAACAATCCTAACAACCACATAAGGTAACAGTTGGAATCGAACGCTATATTGTTACAACACTGATACATTTGTCGTGCACAGGTAGCTTGAAATTTGCACAAGTCACGAATATTGTCGTCAAACGGAGATAGAACAAATCCTGCAAGAAGCTCTGGTACACTTTAAAATGACCGCTCTAGTCCTCAAAATCCAGAGATCTCCTACAAAGCAATTTTAGGATACGGCTCGTTTAAATTGTAAAAGATGTATTGTGGAATTTCAACAGACTTGACGATGCACATGCTGATTTTTAAGAGCTTACCATTGTCCACTTTAATGCACCTGGACCACGGTCGGTTTCACAGTTCGCCGCACCAACCGGTTCCGGAAGGTGAGCGTGCTGGCTGCTGAGAAGAAAAATAGCTTCCCAACGTGGCTTCAATTAGGGGGTGGTTAGGAGCGAGGGACTTACCAAACACCCCCTTAATCAACGTGTGGCTGTCTTCGGATGCCCCTTTTCCTAAGCCCTCTCTCTCGTTTTTCACAAGCACACTTTTCAAATTGTTAAACGGTGTATTTTTTTTAAAAAAAAATTTATATACTAAAGTTGCTTAAAAAATTAAAAAATTAAATTAATTATTTTTTTAAAAAAATAGCAAATGCTTAATTAATTACGTCCTATTGGACCGTTTCGTTTTTCGTACGTACTATGCACCTTCCCATCCGACTGTAGCGAACATCTTCCCATCCGGCTGTAGCGAACACACCCAGAGGGTCTCATGTGACGCGTTCGAGGTGGAGCCAACGGCGTCTTACAAGTTGAGTAACTTGAGTGATAAACACAGTATTGCCTACCACGCGTTTTGAAACTTAATTACACGCGTTTTCGCCCTCTTGTTATGTTCATGCTCCAATGGAAACAAACAAATCGGATATAACACTTCAATCCTGAGGCAGGATTTTGTATGCAAAATGGTACTATACTCAGATAAATGGCTCATCAATTATAATGATGGGTTTACAATTACAAATGAAGATATTTAAGCAACTTAATTTATTCATTCTAGTTGCATAGGTCTAGAACTCGTTGCATTTGGAGTGAGATGGAGTAAATATTATTTCACATTTTGTCAATTCAAACATTTACACGTTTTAATGTTTTTTCGAGAATGGATGGCGTGAGCTCCGATAAGAGTAGCTATAAGATTATAAACCAGCTATAAACATATTTTAAGAAGATAAAAGAGGAGAGATAAGAGCAACGGATTATAAATTTATAGCCAGCTGCAGCACAGACTCCAAAATACATGTGTGTATGACAGGTGAGATCAGACATTAATTATATAGTACATTTTTATAGATAACTATTGTATGAATTGACTTTAGAAGATTTGGAGCCAACAGTTGAATATACTACTCCCTTCTTCCCAAATTAATCATGTAAGAATAGGTACAACAGCAAATTATTAGCCAGCTATAAACATATTTTAATGAGATAAAAGATGAGAGAGAAGAGCAGCAGGCTATAGATCTGTAGCCAGCTATAACACGGACTCCAAGACGCAATGGATGTATGACATGTGAGACCATATATTAATAGTATAATAAGCAACTATTGTATGAATTGGCTATTAGATCGGCTATAGATGAATTGGAGCTAGTAGTGGGCTATACTAGTAAACTTGCTCTAATAGAATTTAAAATTTTTCAAATTGGTCATTATATAACTGCATGGACACGGATTTCATCGGAATACAATTAATACAGTATGGGAGAATATGTGTATGCTAGGGTGTAATTGGCAGGAGGTTTTAATCGAGTATGGGAGAATGTGTGTATGGTGTCTTGATTGATGTGATTTAAATTGTCATTGGTCTTGGTGCATAAAATTATACTCCCTCCGTTCCATAATATAAGGCACAACTATTTTTTTTATGTTCCATAATATAAGGCATACATGTATGCATACAATTAACTAGGACATCTTCTCCATTAAATTATTACTTTTTTAAATCCTTCACTCTCAAGATCTCTAAATTTATTGGATGCATACATGTATTATATTTATTAGGATGATCCAAATTAGAAAATAATAATAATTGTTTCTTGAAAAAGTGGTTGTGGAACATATGGAGTATGATGATTAATTTGGGAAGGAGGGAGTATTAAACTTGCTCTAACCCAATTGTGACAAGTCCATTAATTAACCTGTCAGCTAGTAGGCTAGTAGTTGCACATATATATACAGGAGTGCATTGTTTCTGCTCCTACCCAGCTACCAACCCAGCAATACCATCCACTCAACTCAAGTCAAGTCAACCACAGCTAGCTAGCAAGCATGGAGTTCGTCACTGGGGCGATGAGTAGCCTGATCCCCAAGCTGGGCGAGCTGCTGAAGGAGAAGTACAATCTGCAGAAGAACATAAGGGGGAAGATCGAGTCTCTCTCGGCGGAGCTCCGGCGAGCGCAAGCCGTCCTCCGCATGGTCAGCGAGGTGCCACAAGACCAGCAGAACGAGCTGGTGAAGCTCTGGGCGAGCGACCTCAGGGAGGCGTCCTACGACATGGAGGATATCATCGACGCCTTCTTGGTTCATGTCGACGACGATGGCCCCAAGCCAGCCGACCCACATGTGCTCAGGCGCCTCGGCAAGCAGGTGAAGAAACTGTTCAAGAAGACCAAGCATCGCGTCACCATCGCGGACGCAATCCAAGAAATGGAAAAGAAGCTCCTGGAGATTGATGCAAGGCATGGCAGGTATGGAAAATATTTACTCTCTCCGTCCCAAAGAAAATTCAATTTCTAGGTTTCCGTGTCCAACATTTGATTGTCCGTCTTATATGAAATTTTTCTATGATTAGCATTTTTATTGTTGTTAGATGATAAAACATAAATAATACTTTATGCGTGCGTGATTTATCTTTTTATTTTTTTTATAATTTTTTCAAATAAGACGGATGGTCAAACGATGAACACAGAAACCCAAAAATTGAGTTATTTTAGGACGAAGGGAGTAATATGGAAGAAATCTTAATAATATGTTGTATTATATTGCATTATATTGATCTGTCATGAGGTACATACATAGAATGATGAGAACTTTGACTATAGTACGAGTTACAGCTGATTTATCTCAAGAATTCTATTTCTTGTAGTCTTACATTCGTCATCTCTTGATGTTGTCTCTTGACTCTCATCTATTACAGATACCCAGTTGATAACATAGTTATCCCTGCACGTCCGACGCCTATTGATCCTCACATCCTAAATATTGAGAAAATGGCAAACAATCTTGTTGGCATTGATGAGCCAAGGGATGAGCTTATTAAGATGTTGTCCCAACATGAGCGTGATAACAATCTTAATACGTCCAATAGGAAGACAAAGATAGTATACGTCGTTGGAATGGGTGGTCTGGGCAAAACCACCCTTGCCACAGCAGTATATGAGAAGATTAAAGTGGGTTTTCCTTTGAATGCTTTTGTTCCAATCGGTCAAAATCCTAATATGAAGGCAATCTTGTGGAACATTCTTCATCGATTTGGCCTGGAGAAGTACCTGAATTGTCCAAATATGGAGATGTTGACTGTACAGGAGCTCATCGGTGAACTCAAGCAATTCATCAAGGGAAAGAGGTATGAATATGACGACCCACCAAATTTGTTTTTATATACTACCTCTTTTTCTTAATAAATCACACCATTGACTTTTGAAATAACGTTTGACCTTCAAAATTTTAGTGTAAATATGCTCAAGTATAAGTCATACCTTAAAGTTTCTTTAATAATAAAACAAGTCACAACAAAATAAATAGCATTTATATAATTTGTTTGAATATGACTAATGGTTAAACGTCATATCAAAAGTCAACATCTTCTGTTAGAATACAGAGGGAGTATATGTCCATAACCTATGCTACCTTACCCGCTTATGAATGAATATTTGCGCTACACACAATCATAGTCTTAAAGCTATTTAATTTGCCTTTGCGCATGCTATTTGAAAAAAAAATGATGTACCTCTTTTTAATCGATCACAGTAATAGTCCGGGTTTACCCGTTCTTTAGGCTCCACTTACATCATGAGCAAGCTAAAAATCGTGATCAAGATATTAAACCTAAAATGACCTTGATGTCACCTAGAGGGGTGTCCATGGAGCGACTCCTCGGACAGCGAGGAGTGGAGACCCCTCCCCGAGTTTGAAGATTCAGCCAGGGGGTTAGCAGTGCAAGACGATAGAAAAAGCCAAACAGAGAAAAGATTTGTGGGGCCTGATCTCCCCGCCAAGCAAAAGTCACCAGAGTTTATACAGGTTCAAGCCACCCGGAGGTGTAACACCCTACTCCCGTGTTGGTTTTGTTGTTTTTCTTATATCAGCTTAGAACAAGGGATGCCTTTTTGGGCTACAGACAAGAAGTTCTGATCCAAAAAATCCAACTCTTCATCCGTAGCTTGTCCCCTTCCTTTTATAGATCAAGGATGGGCTCACAATGCTACAAATCTACTTCCTTGTCTTGTCTATCAGCTGTCTTGTCAATGCCTGTTGGTTCCCTCACACAGTCTTCGAGTAACCCACTGACATTTGAAGCTTGCATTGCCCCCAAGCACCCGGGCTTCTGTCCGAGACAGCTGGGTCGTGCCAGCATGTTCACCATGTGGCGAGTGGTGGGCCTGGTGAGACCCGACCTGCCTGAAACAGCACCACGGTTTCGTTTCTACCCGTTTGGCTAAATCAGGCGGCATGGGGCATGTGCGACACGTGTCCAAGATGCCACTGGTTCTAATGACTCAGTGATGGTGCCTTGTCCACATCCTTTCAGCTCCAGACTAGCTGGGGCTCCCCCATAAACCTGTTTAATTTATGGCGGAGAGGACTACTTCACAACAGCCCGTGGAGCACGCCCAACACCCCAGCTGGTCCTGAGGTCGCGCCCTTGCACATTTATGGAGATAGTTTAGCTATTCTTACACAAGCTTCTTGAAGATATCTTAGATAATATCTAATGTTTCGACAGAGACATTCCTCCTTAATCAAGGGACGTAACCTACATGCAGACAAAGGTGAGCAAGCTAACAAGGCAAGCAAAAGGGGATATCGGCAAAAGTAGTTAATGGGTTTTCACAAACAACAACTAAACTACTAGCTGCACCAAATAGCAAAACTGGAGGAGTGAGAGAGAGAGATACCACCGGGATTCTTGCAAACTGATATGTTACTGAATCTACTCTCCGTTGAGGAGCTCACAATGATATTTACATACATACATACATACATACATATATATACATACATACATACATACATATATATATATATATATATATATATATATATATATATATATATATATATATATATGTATACATACATACATATATGTATACATACATATATATATAATGTTTCGACACTCTTCGTTGTAGAGGAATGTAAAACTCACAAGGAGTAAGGTGTGCCCGGGTCCTAGGACGAGGCCGGACATAGGCATACCTCAGTTTATCTCTTAATCATATGTCTCCACCCTCCACCCCTTGTAGAAAGTGTGACCTATGAAGATTAAGGTAAGCCCAGGACCCAGGTCAAGGCCATGTCTGAGGCAAACCTTAGCTTATTCTTCTTAAGATGTATATCTTGTAGGTCTCTACGCTCGTCTACGTAGGACTTACAAGGACTAAGGTGAGCCCGGGACCCAGGACAAGACAGGGTCCGAGGCATACCTTAGGCTACATTCTTAAGATGTAGATTTTATACGTCTCCACACTCCTCTTCTCAGAGCAATGTGTGACTTGTGCGGACTAAGGTGAGCCCGAGACCCAGGATAAGGCCGAGTCTGAGGCATACCTTAGTTTATTCCCTTTAAGATGTAGATCTTGTAGGTCTCTACGCTCCTCTCACCGAGTCTGAGGCACACGTTACATTCTTAAGATGTACTTCAGTGGACCTGGGTCCCGAAGCGGAACTAGGCCTAGGACCAACCTTATTACTCAGAGTTTTAAGTCGTTGTACTTTTGACATGCATCATTCCCCCTTAATCAAGGCGAGTAACCTACATGCAGACAAAGGTGGGCCTGGGACCAACCAAGGTGGGTCCCTAGTGACATCACCCTATTTTTAAGGATGGTTTAAGCATGCCATTTATCTTATTTATAATTGTTTTGCTGGGGGAAATGGGTAGCCTAATTCCCATTTCACCGACAAGGGGGGTAAATAAGCATTTATAACTTTTATGTAAATGTGGAGGCATTTCAGATATTCCAAAATATTTTTGGATATTCTAGGATATTTTCAGATATTCCGAAAATCTCGGGTTTTCGAGCAAGCTAACAAGGCAAGCAAAGGGGATATCGGCAAAAGTAGTTAATGGGTTTGCACAAACAACGACTAAACTACTAGCTGCACCAAATAGCAAAACTAGAGGAGTGAGAGAGAGAGATACCACCGAGATTGTTGCAAACTGATATGTTACTGAATCTACACTCCGTTGAGGAGTTCACAATGAGCTAAGTCTTTTCCAACCCTATCCTCGTGAAGTTGCATAAATGCACTCATCTTTTCATTAAGGGTATCTCTTCCCTTTCAGAGGTGAGATCTGACCTTCACAAACTCCCTCGGCACACCACCTACAAATCGATGTCTCGAGGTCAACTCCTAGCCGTCCAGGTATCCTCAACCACCAAGAGTTACAAATGCAACAAAGATTTCTTGGGGATGAATCGACTGCTCGACAAATCTTCACGAAGTCAACACCAAGCACTCAAATAAACTCAAATCAACCACTCACACATACACGAAATCCGAGATGGAAGATCGGTGGAGAGTAGGGATGGCAATTTGACCCGATTGTCCGTTTACCCATGGGTAAAAACCCTAATAGAGTTGGGTTTGTTCTACATTTAGTATCCATGGGTTTCTTATTGGGTCAAAACCTGTACCCAATGGGCAAATGGGCATGGGCATGGGTACCCATGCCCGCTTCGCCCATTTACCCGCGAAAAACAACTGACATGTGGGCCCTCAATCAACTTAATATAAAAACCACCATCTAATTCTAGGGTTTTCTTCCTTTCCTCCACAGCCGCTACTCCTTCTCTTCCCCTTTCCTCTACAGCTGCCACTCCTTCTCTTCCTTCACAGACCATAGCCACCACTCCAGGCTACCAAGGCGCCAGGCTGACACGGGACAGCCGGACGAGAGGGGCGCGCAATTCGCCACCACCTCCCACCTCCGCTCGTCGCTGGCGGCCCCACCCTCCAGCCGACGACTTTCATAGCGGCCACGGGGGAGGGGGGGCAACCAAGGAAGCTGCGACCGCCGTCGCCTTCTACCCCGTCTGCGCCGAGCTCCTCTCCAACCAGTCGTCGATGTCCTCCAGCCATCGGCCGCCAGCCCGCCACACCTTCCTCCAGTCGCGCCTCCCACCTCCGGTCGCCGCCGCTTCCTCCAGACGCGCCTCCCACCTCTGGTTCCCAGATGTGACGGGTAAACGGGCATGCCTGCGGGCACATGGCGCCTACGGGGGACGGGCATTGGAAGTGCTCCTTGCCCATCATGTAGTAACGGGCATGCCCGCGGACATGAATTACCTCGCGGACACGGGATGGGTAGTCACTACCCGTGCCCGTCGTGCCCGACTGCCATCCCTAGTGGAAAGTAAGAAGTGAGAGGGCAAGGCTCAAAGTGAATCTCAAATCAACACAAGCAAGGGGCACAAGAAAGCAATGGAGCGAGCAATCTTGACTTGGGGTGGAGGGGGTTATTTATAACCACAACCTCAAATCTGATCGTTGGAGGCAAATCAAGATTCAATTTTTTGAAAAATTTTGAAAACCATTTTCGGACAAGTCTGAAAAACACAAGAAAGCAATTTCATTTGAGCAACCATTTTCCGAATTTCCAAAAAAATTTCGGAATTATTTTCGGAAGTTGCTACAATACTTTCATTTGAGCAACCATTTTCCGAATTTCCAAAAAAATTTCGGAATTATTTTCGGAAGTTGCTACAATACTTTCGGAAATTCCAAAAAGTATAAATTACAGCACAAACTTAGCAAAAAAAAAAGGAAAAATAACATTTCGGAAATTCTGAAAATATTTCGAAAAAATTTGAAATCACCAGAGAGCTTTTTCACAAAATTTATCATTTTGGAAATTCCAAAAACCATTTTCGGAAAATTCCAGAAAACGCCAAAAGATGTGTTGGCCACCGCCGTCACATGAGCATGTCACATTTGAACTCATGACGGAGGAGCACACTACCCACTTGTCAGCGTTATCCCTGTCACTATTCTAGTGCACCACTGGTTCCTAGCTACAAGACCGTCGTGCCCACACATTATCCAAAAGCACATGCCAATGCATAGGCTAATGAATAATTAATTGCAATATCTCACTTTTAATGCATGTTTATCTCTCTTATCTAGATTTTCTTCGGCACTAAAAATTATTGCTCCTTCACATATAAAAAGAAAACCACATCTTATTGATGACTCGTAATTTTCAGTGATTGGGGTGCTTATACAGTTCTTCTACTATTCTAGGTTTTTTATCGTTATAGATGACATATGGGATAAGCCATCATGGCAAATACTCGAAAGTGGTTTACAAGATAATGATTACGGAAGTAAAATACTTGTAACTACTCGTAAATCTGAGGTTGCAACAATTATCAGCGATGTGTACAATATGAAACCACTTTCTCATGATAACTCTAAAGAATTATTGTATACAAGAACTGGTAGTGAAGGCAAATCTCTTGACAGTTCATCAACTGAGGCATGTGACAAGATTTTGAAGAAATGTGCTGGTGTGCCATTAGCTATCATTACGATAGCTAGCTTGTTGGCTAGTAGATCAGGTCTGGACTGGTCTGAGGTGTACAGAGCTATTGATTTTGGAGAAGACAACTATGAAATGGCAAATACTAAAAGGATATTGTCTTTTAGCTACTACGATCTGCCTTCACATTTAAAGAATTGTTTGCTCTATCTAAGCATGTTTCCAGAAGATTATAAAATTGACAAAAATCATTTGATATGGATATGGATAGCTGAAGGTTTTGTCCCTGAGAAACAAAACACAAATTTAGGATTATATGAGCTTGGAGAGAGTTACTTCAATGAGCTGATAAATAGAAGCATGATGATCCAGCCAATTGAGAATGAATTTTTTGGGTGTATAGAAGGTTGTCGTGTTCATGATATGGTGCTCGATCTAGCTCGTTCATTGACAAGTGAACAAAACTTTGTCACTGTATTGGATAACGATGAGCAACGGAAACCTGAAAGCACCAATGCTCGTAGGTTGGTCCTGCACCGTACGAGTATCACGAGCTATCGATTTGTTAATATGGATATGAAGAAAGTGAGGTCATTTGTTGCCACTGAGTGCAATAATGGCAATAATAGTGTGGCACCACCAAGGTTCCAAGTTTTACGTGTGTTGTCCTTGGACAAATGTAATGGTATGGAGGATTATTACATAGAAAGTATTTTGCAGTATGCTGGAAGGCTGGGTCACCTGAGGTGCCTCCAGCTTTCCTCACACACAGAGTTTCATAGGCTCCCTAAAGAATTAGGAGATCTCAAGTTTCTAAAAATACTGGACTTGGGTGATTGTGGCGGTACAATAGAAGAGCTGCCGGAGGAGTTGGGTCTCCTGACACATTTGTTGTGTCTACGTATTCCTCGCAGATTGGAGATGTTGCCAGCTGGTTTGATCGGAAAACTGACATCGCTGCAAGAGCTATGCATAAGTCTTATCGAAGAGGTCGCTGTAAGGCACTTTGTGCAGGAGTTGGGCAACCTCAGAGAACTGAGGGTGCTCTATGCCAAAATTTATATAGGGCTGAAAGATGAGAGCATGCAGAGAGATTTTCTACAGTCCTTAGGCTGTCTACATAAGGTCCACACTATGAATATATATAGCATTGAAGTAAGGGAATGCACCAGACCAGATGCAGCAGGTTCTGTGTCCTGTCCTCGGCTCTGGCAGCTGTCATTGCCATGCATCAAGTTTTTTAGCCTACCTGTGTGGATTAACTCATCAACTCTTGGTTGCCTCTCGCATCTAGACGTGAAAGTACAGGTTGTGAAAGAGCAGGACATGGAAACCCTTGGAAGGCTCCCAATGCTCTGTTACCTCAAATTGGATTCCCAATATACCAGGCTAATAAGCATTAAGAAGCCTGCTGATGATGGCTACTTCCAAAAATTGAGATTCTTTAAAACTCCTCGTTCATTTGTCCGGTTTGATCTTCATGGTTGCGAGTCCAGCAGTGGAGCATCTAGCTTCATGCCAAGACTTGAACACATTGAATTCAGTGTCGATGTTCGGTTCCTAAAAGATGCAGCAGACCTGCATGCTGGTCTTAACAACCTGCTTGCAGGCTTCAATGACTTTGGAAGAACTTCGCTCAAGAGTGTCGACGCTAGGATCCACTGTAAGGATGCCCTTGCTGCGGAGGTGCAGGAAGCCGAGGTGGCATTGGCAAATGCAGCACACGGCCATCCCAACCGTCCAGTCCTTCGAACTGATAGGGCATATGAGAGGATGATGCGCTCACCTGATGACGATAAGGTACGTGTATGCACAGTACGTAATGTACTTAGATCATTTCAATCGATTTTCCTTATGCTGGTTTTCTGCCTACATATATAAAATCTGATCTTAATTATTTCTTGTGCTTATATATATTTTTCAGCCAACAAGCTGGTCCGATCAAAAAGTTTTTGAGATACATGTCTATCCGTCGTCGAATGACCATCATCGTTACCTTAGCTACCTCCGGTTGTTGAAGAAGCCACGCCTGGAGAAGCTTATAGTCAACATATATGTGTCCAAGGATGGTATGGTTGGGGATGTGGATGAAGCTGTGGCAGCTGCGAGGAACGTAGTCGACCATCATATCAACCATCCAACACTTGAGATAAATAGAATGGAAGAAAGTATTTCTGACCAACATCAACAGGCAAGATATATCTCTCTTCTTGAGCTCGTCCCCAATATTGTACTACAGAGAAACCCAGTTAATTTGTAACACCAACCATCACATTCTGAATCATGTTTGCCTTTTAATTGTTTTTATGCATACTCTACATGAGAGTGCTATATATATTTTGTTTCACTTGCAGTTGCTCATAGTCATTTCACAAGATACATATGCATGGTGGTAGACTGCTAAAACTATAGTTCATCCTAACATAGCATTATTTTTTGACTGTTTCTAGGTCCCTGAAAATAATTGAGTGGCAAGCTGTTCATTTGAAGGTTAAGATTGGCACAGTGATGGCACAATATTAATGAATCCGAGCCAGACTAGACGGGAAGCTGTCATAGCATTGACTAATCTGTAATCCGATTTCAAAATGCAGGATATTCGGATCAATTTCCTCATATGTCGTCTACTCTTTTACTGTAAGTATGACACTTTATCTTTTATCTCATTTATGTATCTTTCGTAAGTGGCACAGTAATAAGGTGACATCCCATTGTTATTCCCACACATTTGTAACCAAATTCTTTAATAATTGAGTGCAGTTCTGGTGCATGTTTGATTCTCTGCATTTGGTCCAAGCAGAGGTTACAGCACATTATCAACGGAGAAAATAACTGAAAAAAGGTGATGATAAACAGAATATTATGGGTGCTGTAGCATAATTGACTCTGCACCTGATCACCCTCCTCATGGGTTGGTAAGCACAACAGCTTGCCATCTTATTGCTGTACAATCTTTTGTGAATGATGATAGGTGTAATTGGATGTGTGCTGGAGAAAAAATGCTCAATCCAAGTGACAAATTGCGCACTTGTTTTGATCTTTAATTCCCTTTCAGAGTGATCTACTCTAAGGACAATCTTGGATCACCCTTGGATGAAAAACTTAAGGATTGGATGTTGGACATTTTACCTTTGATAGGCCTAAAAACTTCATGTATATATTATATCCAAACTAGAGGTTATAAGTGTGTTTTGGCTATGTGCATCATAGCTATGCAAATGCCGGGAGTATGCTCAACATAGTTGTATCGCCTCATTGTAATTGACTGCGTTCAATAAAATCTTCCATTATCTAAAAAATGGAAAGCTTCAATCCACCAACAGAGTCATGGCCACATGATTCCCTCATTGGACACCGAAAGATTCAAAGAAAGCAGACTTCAGGCTGTAAAATTGTTTGTGAAAACCTTCATGTTGCATGAATGCAAGAGTGACCTTGAATATGTTGCTTAATTTTTCAGATTATGTGTTTCACATTTTCTAATTTAGTATACTGTGAAGTTTGCGGGGGAATGTATAGATTTAGTTGATGAATTCAGTAGAGCAAACACAAAGTACAGGTACAAAACAATAACATGATGGGATTCAGATCTCAGAAGGTGCACAGATTCGTAACTGTGAACCTACAGAGGCACAATGCAACAACAGGTCACCAAATAATATCTCAACTGAGTAACAACTAAAAATCATTTTACTTGAACAACTTGCCCAAATAGAGTCATCAAAAGGAGAAATAACAACTTGCCCAAGAATAAGAAAATCTGATCCACCTTAAGATGACCACCCTAGTCATCAAAATCCACATCACTTACAAAACAGATTTAGGATCATAACCATCAACATCTTCAATAACGTAACTGGTGGCCTAGGTTGTAAAAGAAAACATTGAAATATGAGTCATGGAATTCCAATTCAACAGACTTGAGTGTGCAAATGCTGAAATTAAGATGCTCAACATTCTCAGCCATTTTGGGGATGGATTTTGATTTGAGGGAGAGGATTAATAATGGAAAATAAGATCTTCACAATGATGTGGACTCTTCTATCGCCTTGTGGGCAAATGATTTTGATTTTCCTAAGCTTTTCACAGTTAACTGCTGTCCCTGTTCCTTCGCATGTGGGATCTAAATCTGCAGTAGCATTTGCAGAATTGGTGTCGTGATCATAGGCATAAGCTCCATGCTGGTAAAATGAACAAGGAAACAGTTAAACTCAATTCATGAGAAGAAAAGAAACAGCAATGTGGAGAGGGGGAGATATACCGAACCTTGACAAGATGCAGGGAAAGTTTCTCTATGTTAGGTGAGTGCCGAAGCAAGTACAGTAGTGGATAGCAGCCATCACTAAAAAACAACTCACCAAGTGCCAAACTCGTTAGATTGCTGAATATCCCACACCTTGGAAGATCACGTAGTAATACCTTTTGGACCACCTGCCCACAAGTTTTAAACTCCAAAGATGTTAAAGATAGGAATATATAAACAACAAATAAGAGCAATTGTAATTTAAAGCATTTAGCTTACATCTTCGTAGATAGATGAAGACATCAAGTGCAATCTTGCAGCGTTTGAAAGAGCACTGAGAATAGTGCAGTCAACATCAGAATGTCCAAAAGAGAACCTATTAAGGGTAAACTGAAGCTGATTCCACTGATGATATGTCTAGGAGCCGAAGATTTCTGTTTGCAATCTCCTCTACATGCAGGCAGATAAGGTTTGGCATATTTATCACAAGATGCTGAAAACCTTCTGGGTCATCTTGAGTTCTATCTGCAGCTGTAATGGTCAGAATCTTCAATGTAGCAGAGCAAAACATGGTGGCCTTGATGGCACAATGTCTCAACTCCAGATGCAGTAGCTCCGGGCAACCAGAAAAGAGTTTCTCGACAAAACGGTTATCAATAGAAAATTTGCAAAGGTATACACTCTTCAAGTGCAAGAAAGTGAAGGGGACAGGATATCCATCTACAGAAAGGAGCTTGCCATCACAATAATTGAGTATGCCGAGAGTTTTAACGTTGCACCTAAGGGCATGGCAGACCCATGGATGGATGTCAGAATAATCAAGGGAATCATCAGAGCTGTCATAGGAGGTATGGATACAGAACATATCCAACAGGGCACAGCTGCGCTGCAGGAGCAAATTGTCAACAAACTTCTTAAAATGTTTCACTGTAATGAAGTTGCACGAGTCAACATTGAGGTATCCCACAGATGCCCAGACGTTCTGCCACCTCCGAGATAGCACACAAGTCTGCACAGCCTCCTTCGCTGTTAGGAATGTCATGACATGGTGCAAAAGTTCGTCAGGCAGAGCACTGATCCTGTCACAGACACTCGTTCGCCTGCTAGACTGGGACATATCTCTCTCTCTCTGGAAGAGCTTACTTTATCAGGGGCATTCAATCGAGTAGTTGGTGTGCGAGGGTGCCAACTGCCATATCCACAGAATGGAGAAATAGATCCACACAAGCAAAATTGGATACAGCACGTTAGTAATTTGCAATCAAAAATTTGTTCTTGTAAGCAGGAAACAAAATAAGATTGAAGTGCGAGGAAAAGAAACAAATTTTGTGGGGCATTTCTCTTCTACCCGAAAAAGAAAACCTCAAAAACGCAATCATGTTCCGCCCTGTTGGTAGGACTGGATATAGAAACTAGATATTGCTAATCACAGTACAGAGAACGCTAGTAACCACAGCTGCGGCAATGGCTAAATAAATCTTTTCCATTTTGGAGAGAAGAGACCCTGGCATCCTATTACAGGAAGTGTACTACAGCAGTGAAGCATCCTTTTCTCCAATGCAAAAAGCGACACATCCACATAAGACTTACTAGTACTTGGCACTCGAACAAGGAATAAAATGTACTCTTAAACAACTTGGGTGGCATTTCCTTTTTACCCTCTATTAATGGAAATGGAGGGGCTTCCCTCTTCTTCTTTAATTTTAACCCCAAGATATGAAAACCATCGCACACAATTTTGTTCCGGCCTGTTGGCAGGACTGGAAATAGGAACCAGATATCACCAATTCACACCACAAACAACATCTGCAGCTATTGCTAAAAAAAAAAAAATGTGCATTACTTTGAAGCTGAATGGCTAAAACTAAAGATCTCATTATTTGGCTCAAGTGCTAATCGACACTACGGCTACGGTCAACAGAAACATGGCATAGGGGGGTTCATTTTATTCATCCAAATCAAACACAACATTGAAATAACACCCAAGCCCCCAAATGGAGGCGGGGAAAAACCCTAGCGGGCGAATGGCGGATGGAAGAACACAGTAATTGCCTCAGGAAGTCAGCAAGACGAAACGCCTCACCCAAGGGAACCGGCGGCGGGCTGTGGCCTTGCTCGCGCTGGCCTCCGTTCTTCACCGGCGTGCGGCAGCCGTCGGAGGGAGAGGCCTCCTGCCAAAGAGGAAAGAGGGGGACGATGTGACACCACCAGCTATCCAACCAGCAACACTGCACGCTCCGGCGCCGCTTCCGCCTACCTCCGCGCCGCGCACCGGCGTGCGACGGCCGGCGAGGAGCCCAAACCTGCACACGACGGCGCGGCCACAGGCAGCGCTGCAGCGTTTCCACAAAAGATGGCCCTCGTTATGGCGGTGAGGGGAGAATCTGCCGGGGGCATTTTACTACTCTCTCCGTCTCATAATTAACTATTCTGAATCTGCTGTCACCTCTATCGCCAAAATCTTTTTTTTTAATTGAATCCATGTCATTACAAATTTATCTATTCAAAAAAATGTCATCATAATTCATCTATTAGCAGTTGTACCACTAAAATTTTATAAAATTATAATCATGCCACTGTTGTCACCTTTTTCATTTTCTTTTTTATCTTCTTACTACTTGCTCCCGTCTTCTTTCCTCTCCTCTCTTCTTTGCTCCTCCAACCCGGCCACTGATGGAGCCGCTACTCCAACTCGACATCGTTGGCCATGACGGTGAGGGGTTGGAGTCACCGACTTGGACGAGGCAACGCCGAGGAGGTGGTCGAGGGTGGCGTGTAGGCCAGCAATGACGGCCTCCTTGTTGCGGGCGAGCTAGACGGCGGTGATCTCGTCTGCGAGAAAGCGAGGCGAAAGGAGCTCGGGCAACCAGATCGGCAAAGAGCGAAGTGGCATCGCAGCAGCTGCCATCGCAACCATTGCTTCTACTACGAAGTCATTCTAGAACTTAAGTTATTTTAGGATTTCTCACATTCGTATAATGCCTAGATTCACCACCATCTATATAAATATGAAAAATTCTAGAATGACTTACATTATGAAACGGAGGAAGTACAATAAACAACATCGGAGTGGGGCTCATTTTTCCGAGAGATGTTCCTTTCATTAATTGATTAATTCCCCCGTATACCCGGATTATTGTAATTAGTATTACTCCTATTGTTCCATCCAGACATTGTAGAAGCAATGCATTGATGCATGTGGAACAGTCTACTCAACCTGCTTGGACGCTGTTGTACTCCGACTGCAGTTTTTGCCATCTTTTTCAAAAAAGAAGAAGAAGAAGAAGAAGAAGAAGAAGAAGTGGAGTCAAATTCTAGAGCACTGTCCACGACCAAGTTTAATTTGGGGGGAAAATGTCTGAAGATACATCATTGCATACACTTCAGCATTCAACTACAACGGATAACAAGCACCATGCTGCTGGACAAAAGTTTCGACTTTCCAGTTAAAGAGCATCAGTAGTAACAATTTTCTGGGGAGAGTTGGTATTGTGCAGTATGACCCGCAGGACACTGCAACTCTCATCAACAAAATGCTACTACCTCCGTCTCAAAAGAGAAGCGCAGCCGTGGAAATCCGTATCCAACAACGTTTGACCATTCGTTTTATTTAAAAAATTTATGAAAAATTTTAAAAAAATTAGTCATACATAAAGTATTATTCATATTTTATCATCTAATAATAATAAAAATAGTAATCATATTTTTTTAAAATAAGACAAACGGTCAAACGTTGAAAATAAATAGTGTAAAACTTCACTTATTTTAGAACGGAGGGAGTAGTTGTCATAATGTCATATCAAATGCAAACATCCTCTACTAGGAAAACCATTTTTTGTCGAATATGAGGATCAAATCCTCCACAAATCCTTATTATCCTTTTGCTTCAAAGGAGACCTAAGCCTCCAAGTCATCCCTTTCCTCTACATTTCAAAACCCTCATAGATCCTCATTGCACATAGCATAATACTGCCGCACAAACAAGAAAAATGCACTCCAGTACAGATTAATCCGACCCGGCAAAAAAATGGATCAGGTAAATTTACAGCACCCTCCCCTAACATTGCATGCTGAAGTAAACCCCACTGTTAATCCATTTGAGCCAAGATCATTCATGCAGATAACACTAGCAAATGCGAAAGTCATTCACCTGATTCTACCCAAAAAAAAAAAGAAAACTAAGAGATGACCTAGGCAGCGAGGAAGCTACAGGATACAGGAGCAACAGGAAAAAAAAACCCGGAATAAGGAGGATTAGGAGCACAGAGAGCACGCACCCAAGGTGACCGGAGGAGCGCGCTCCGCTTCCGCTTCCGACGACCTCCGCACGGCGGCGCGCGACTCCGGCGAGATCGAGATGGCCCGGAACCCAAGCAGAAGCAGCCGTGGCACCAGTGACCGAGTTGTGATGGGGGACGCGAGCATGAGCCACAGACAAGTGGGTCCCACATGATGAAGGCGCCCGCATGTCAGTGAGCAAACCAACCACATCAACTATAGTGGGCCGCACGTCTCCAGCCTAAATATTTTTATGGGCCGAGAATTTCCGTTCTCATTCCATGGGCTGATTTGGAATTTTTTTTATTTTTAATTTTTTTATTAAAAGTTTTACAAAAATAATTTTTCATTTTGAAAATTGACAGAAGTGGTCGCCTACCGTCCTCTGGGAGGGCGATTTTTAAAAATCGCTATCCCAGAGGGCGGCGAAAGTGACGTGGCAGACGGCCGTTCGCTCTCGGGCGACGGCCGTCAACGAAATTTGCAGGCGGCCCCCTTGCCGCCCTCCGCTAGGGCGATTTTGTACTGTGCGGGGGGCCGCCTGCAAATGGGCGGCGGGGGGCCTGGAATTTTGCAGGCGGCCCCCTTGCCGCCCTGGGGGAGGGCGATTTTATACTGTGCTTTATATTTTTGTATTAATATCAATAGTTATCAAATCTTTTTATATTGAAAACTATACAAGATTAAAATCTCCAAGACTGGTAAAATACAATTTTATTATTTTTAGGGCCTATTTGGAATGTTACCGTACAAATATTTTGTTAGTGCCAAAATATAAGCAAGTTTTGGCACTACCAAATATTTGGTAAGGTAAAATTGCATTTGATCATATTTGGTTTGCTGCCAAAATGTAAAATTGTAGTGAAGAATGTTCTACATAATCTCAAATCTAGATTACGTATTACCAATGAATAGGCTTCAATCGAAATCAAACACAAGTACTATTCAAATTACCAAAATATTGGTAGGGCATGTTTTTGGTAGCAATCCAAATAGGCCCTTAGTCTTACGCATACAAAAAATCACCACCATAATTAAACATTGTAATGATAAGATAGATAAGAAGTGCCATCGATACACGGTACAAATTTGTCGATCCCGACGAATCAAGCATGCGGTAACCTATCGGCACCTTCTAGGTCGGTCAGAATGCATTGCATTCTCGTGGTCCTTCAATCGTTGATACTCTACTTGTGTTTCTGACTCTGTTATCTTCTGGCCATGATATGATGGAGTGACATTGTCGATCCATCGAGTAAATCCACCCATCCTTGGATTGCCCTGTAAAAATAGTAATGTTATTCAGTTTGGGTAGTAATTTTGTGCAAATCATAGCGGATTTTGTAAATGGTTAGACATACAACGAAATCGTTGTCTACATTGGGGCAGACAAAATATCTCCTTCGAAATGTTTGTTCAGCAAAGGATGTAGCCACCTGCCAGCGATCTCTGCACCCACACTTTGGACGCTCGGACCATTTAGGTAACCCTAATGGATTGTTCCTCCAGTCTAAGCTTGCAATTTCCACCCGACGTTCGTACTCCATCCAAGCATGAATGAACTGTATGGTCGGTTCAGGTTGCGTTATCGGCCCGCCACTTGAAGTAACTCTGACTGTGTCAATCCATTGTACGAATTGACATTTCCTTACATCCTCCTATGTACATCCATTTTGGGATAGTTAAGTTAATGATAGTACTGAGGAGTGATGAAAAGAATAGTTGTAATTACCACGAAATCATCGTCGACAATGTTTGGACACACGAAACACCTTTGTCCTCGAGTTCGGTGCCTTACGGACCTTATGACCTGACAACGGTCACCACAACGACACTCCGGACGCTCACGCCACGTGGGGAGTCCTAGGGGATTTACGTGCCATTCTAAAGCCTCAGCAGCAATTCGACGTTCATGCTCATCCTTCCACCTTAGGTACTCCGATCTTGTTTCACTACGTGGGTAAGCACGGGTTCCATCGTTTTGTGGGTTCTCCATGTCTACCCACTCGATGAAGTTGCACATTGGACGATATGTCTGCGTAAGATGTTACAATTGTGTACGAAGAAGTTAGTTTTTTTATCCATTTGAACTTCGAATAGATGAAGCATACCTAATCAAAGTTCGCGCATTGGAAGAATCTCCTGCCCCGAGTTTGTATCATGAGGGAAGACTTGAGTATGCATCCATCCCCACAATCGCACAAAGGACGGTCACACCATGGTGGAAACCAACTAGCAAAAGGATCGCTTCGCCAGTTGAGACGCTCAAGGAATGGCGCTTCCATTTTCGTGTGTTGTGTGCTAGTGGGAAAGAAGATATGAAGAGGTTGCCTTCAGATTGTCAATTATATAGCGTCGTTTTCACTGCAATATATGTGAACTCAATGAGATACATTATTCATTAGATGTGACAAGACGATCACGCGTGGGCGTGATTCACTTTATGTCAACAGGCAGCGCCGAAAGTTGATAGTGACAACTCGAGCTGCCGCTTTTCATGTGTGCTGTTGTGGACTGTGCGTACTACTGGATCTAACACTACCGTGAAGCGCCGAAAGTGTGTTGTCGTGAGCATAAGTTGTTCTAGCACCATATGAATGAAAAGAACTATGTAGACGAGACAAACACAAGTAGTACTGCAGTAGTAATAGCAAAAGTAGTACTGCTTTACAAGTTTGTAAGCCAAAAGAAACGGTCACATAAGGACTGAAGAGGTAGAACACTACTGACGAGGCCTCTTACCCCTGTCCCTCCTACCCTGCGCCATAATGTGCCCCTGGGAGTACGTGAGTCGGTCCGGGGGTACGGCACGGCCAACCCGTCCTGCCTGTACAGGTGTGACCTCTGGCTGCTCCTGAGTGTGCGCCTCTGGAGCTCCTCCAAGCTGAGAGGAGCCTAGTACGTCGTGGTGGTGTGCACCGTGCAAGTCGTCGTCGTAGAACTGGCTAGTAGGACCAGTCCTACCGGCGTGAGACGAAGAGGCCCCAGTACCGAAGATCCCGGCTGCAAATCCTGCTGGACAAGGACCATCAGTTTCATACAGGTATTTAATAGTATTAATAAAAAGTAAAGTACCGTGTGGGCGAGGGATAGACGCTCCGTGAGAGGAAGAGCTGGCGAACGCGCCCGAAGAGGTGGCGAACGCCCCTGCGGAACTCGCGGAAGCGCCGGTCGTGCCTGCGAACGCGCTCGAAGGCAGACGAGGTCCTGCGATGAGGAAACGTGCCGTTAAAACATGGTGACATATTCGTGCAAAAGCTGAAACAAAAATGAACTAATCTCTGGGCTGAACTGTACCGTGCGAAAACCGGTGCTGTAGGTCGCACTGCTCCGAAGCTAGGGGCGCTCGAAGGCAAACGAGGTCCTGCGAGGATGGAACATCAAGTTACGACGGGGTGATGTTTTCGTACAAAAACAGAAACAAAACTTAAGAAACCTCTGGGCTGAGCAGTACCGTGCGAAACAGGTACCGTAGGTCGAGGTCCTGCTCCGACGGTAGGCGCGCGAGGCCGTGGTTGTACCGGACCAGCTGGAGGTACGACGTCCACGGCGCTGCGACAGGAGAAGACGCGCATGACCGCACGCATCTTCTCCTGCATCTGGTCGAAGGTCACCCTCTGCTCAACGTCAGTCAAGTGCAAACCTCTGTTCAACCTCACTTGGACTGCGGTGATATCGGCACTGATATCCCGTGCAGCATCAGCCTATGCAAGATGGAAATAAAAAATTCAGTAGTTGTCCTATATTATGCAAGATAAATGAAATAATTGTAAGAACTAATACAAATTCGACGTACCCCCACGAAGTAGTCTCGGTCACGGTGCGTGGGATACGCGTCCGTCACAGCGGCAACGTGCGGCTCTGGGGCGTCTGGAGTGAAGGTCACACGCGCACGAGTGCGAGGAAGGTACCAGCGAAGGTAGTCACGGTAGTTCTCCTCCGTGTGTGGGAAGAGCTCGTTGATCACCTCCTCTGTAGCTAACACCCAGTCGTCAACGTACTGCTGTACACGTGGAGCCCAAAGTGCGCCTGCTAGCTGTCCCCGTCGAGTCAACCTGTGAAGAGAGGTAAATTATATGGCTCGATGAAGTAATTATCATAAAAATTTAGAAATGAACAATCCGAACTCACGAGTGGTCGGCAGGGAGGACGGTCGGCTGCACGTTGCCCGGAAACACCTGCCTAAGTCCGAACTGTCTCATCACACGCTGCGGGCAGTGAGGCTCAACGAAAATGTCGAACACCATCGGCAGGATGGTGAGCCAGTAAGCCTGGTCGCGTGTGCACAACGACGAAAGTCCTAGCGGTGCTCTCGCAGCGACGGCCTCTTCTGTGTACGGCTCCCAGATGACGTCGCTCGGCTGGAGACGGTCAAACT